CAGAGAGAGGAGAGAGAGAGAGAGAGAGAGAGAGAGAGAGAGAGAGAGAGAGAGAGAGAGAGAGAGAGAGAGAGAGAGAGAGAGAGAGAGAGAGAGAGAGAGAGTGTGTGTGTGTGTGTGTGTGTGTGTGTGTGTAAAGGTAGAAGGAGAGAGAAAGTCATATGCTGTTAGTATGAAACTACAAGGCTAATACACATCAAAATAATATTCGCATGTGTACCCCCTTGGGAAAAAACAATTAGCCCTCTGTATATTCTAAAATCCATGTACTATAGAAACCACTATTATGGTACAATCTAACAATAAAGTAATAAATAACTAAAATAACAAGGACACTAATGAATCATGCGGCGAGGATGATACATCGTCATAGATGATAGTGGATTTTTCGTGGAGATTTCGTCCGGTATTTGTTTTTACTGATAACTGAGTCAAATGGGATTATTCAGTTACAAAGATATTTCATCTTGATGATCATTTACGACGAATGCATGTTGCTCTTGGAGGAAATGTAATATAATTGTTGAAATGATAATGATGATAATGAGACAACGTTTAATGTATAGATATTATTGTTGAAATAATGCTAATGCTAATGAGAGAGAGAGAGAGAGAGAGAGAGAGAGAGAGAGAGAGAGAGAGAGAGAGACAGACACAGAGACAGACAGACAGACAGACAGACAGACAGACAGACAGACAGACAGAGAGTGAGTGAGTGAGTGAGTGAGTGAGTGAGTGATTGAGTGAGTGAGTGAGCGAGGAGTTTGAGAATGAGAAAGAGAACGTGTGTGTGTGGGGGTGAGTGTGCTAAAATAGCGCTTTCAACAAGTACGTATTTTCATTTTTTTCTATTCTTGAATATTAACGTGCTGCATATGTTTGTATAATACCGTTAATTTTTTACAATGAAGTAATTTTTACGTTTGATACAGCTTAAGGTTACGGTTCTTGGAACTAGTAACATCATCTATTTACAAAACGACTATTAAATGTATGCAACATATGAAAATACTGTATAAGTGGAAACCAATTCCTATCTATTTTTACTAGTCACTACATACCACTATATATTTTTCTAATACAGGTTTTACTGTTCTTCATTACCGATTCTAAATATTCAGTCTATCTAAACTACATTCCGGAAGTTTAGATTTGAGGTTAGAAATGCCATGCACGGTTGAGAATTCTATATATTTAGCTCATAAGCTTCACATGCACATAACCCTTTCTTCAGTAGTAGAAAATTTACATGACCTGACTTGTAAGGAAATCTAAATTGACTTGACATACAAATCTTAAGTCGACTTGTGTTAAATAACCCATCAAAATTCTAGTCCTTTAATTCTATCATATACACAAGTTATAATAGTTTATACAACCTTTAGGGTCTAGATACTGTTAAAGGTTTTGCTCTTCATTATTCATGCTTATCTTTTGTTTTTGTTTTACTAATTCAGTGTTCTGGACTGATTGGGTTTAAAACAGGAACAATAAAGAAAACTTTTCCTACAATTTTGTTTCTCAAACAAATTTTCTTCCTGTTGCAATCCCGAATTTTATATTGATGTGTACATTTCACAACACAATACACATAATAATGGATAATAATGAAACAAAATGTTTGAAAATATGCCCATCTATATTTATGGTCAATGGTAGCAATGTAAAATAAATGAGCTAGACATCAAAGGTCATTTATCACCTGGGAAGGTATAGTAACAAATTAAGTAAAGATGGGGGGGTTATTTATGAATTAATATGCTGCACATTAAAAGTTGTACAGCAGTTTAAGCTATTATGACACTGCAATGGGTAAAGGGGTGAGTAAATTGGTTAAGATAAGGATTAACAAAAGGGGGAAAAGAGGGGCCATTAGATCAAATAAAGGATGTGTATGTATCTGAGGACAAAAAACAAGTTGTCAAAGGAATAAGTGCTGAATTCTGTAAGGATGTCTATGGGTCAATACAGAAATTATCATCAGGAGAAAAGGGGGTTAAGGGTGATCAAAGAGCTATTATGAATGGCTGTCTGAGAAGTAGAAGGGGAAGAATGTGGGGAATGAGACTGGAGAACAGGGGGAAGGTGGTAAAGTATTAGGAGGAATGTCAGCATGATGATGATCAAAAGAAGGGTACTGTTGTGACAACTGGGAATCAAATGGGAAGTGGTAGAGTATCTGGATTTAGAAAAGCAAAAGAAATTCCCAAGCACCTGGAAAGTGATAGAGGTTAGAGTGCCTAGAATTAGAATGGCAAAAGAAATTGACAAGGAGGGAGGGAGTAGAAGGGGGAATGTGAGGAGCAGGAGTAAGAGATACTGGGAGAGATATAGAAACATCTTATTGAGAAGGGGGAGGGGGAGAATGAAGGATAGCAATGGAGTAGGGAGTACTAGAAAATCTTCATTGGCGTGCTTCCTGCCTGGCCTCTTGTAAAGCGAGGCCAATCATCTATATTTATGACAAATGCATTTAATGCAAATTCTTGCAAAATTCATACAAGGAAATTTAAAGGAAACATTTATCATAGTTACATAAAAATATTTATTGTCTATAACTTGCAAGGTACTAAAATACATTACAATAGACACCAATATTTACTTATACCATAAATAATGATGTATCTAGTTCACTGTCATTTATTCTTTGATAAATGCATGGGTGTGACTTCCACAATGAGTTTCTGATATGGCACATCAAGCCGTACTTGCTCGCAATGTAAAATCTCTTACAAGCTTGCTACAACTTACCTTCAAGCTTGCAAAATGAAGCTCTGTTTTTAGTTTTATCTTCTTCCAAAATGCATAAGAAAATGAGCTGTGAAATATAAATCTTATAAAACTATAGTCTCAATGTTTAGCACATATAAAATAACTTTGCTTTTAAAAATGGATTCATTATGGTTAACAATATTTAGGTAATGCCCCTCTCTCCCTCAGACAGACAAAATAACATCCAAATAGAAGGCGCATTACATTTTCGAACTCTCCTTTGTATCTTCTCTTGTCAGTACAGCCATCCACTCTTGATATTTTTAACTGCTTTATTTGGTGCTCGAATCTCTTGGCTCCAGTTTCAGCTTCCAGTAACTGCACAAAACATATCCAAATGTCCACGTATGGTATATCTTTTCTCTTTCTTTTCAATGCCGCAGGTAAGACTTTCCCATCCCAACTGAAAGTCCTGAGGTGTAAGCATTCCTTATTAAAAGATGAGAGGGAGAAGAAGAAAAGGGGCACAGGCTAGGAACCTCTTTTTTTTCTACTTTATGGCATAATACATTGCTGCTTCAGCCTATATCCTATGCACAGTAAGTTGAGCTTGTCTTTAGCAAGTGCTTTTAGCTGACAGTTGTATTCAGGAAAAACCTTTTAATGGGTTCCTTTATAACAGGCTGCTTTTCTATTTTTTTATACAAAAACATGAACCATAAGAAATCTAAGCATGTCCTTTTGTGTTAAATGCTAAGATACTGTTTATATTTAATTGTTAAATAGTTTTACATTAATCAGTTCTGTAAAAATTGTACATAACAATAAAAATAACTCATTAGAAATAGATGTTTATACAGCTCCTTTAAATAATGCTAGTTTTTATTTGTTAAAGTGAAATATCTCTATGTCATCATCAAATAAAATTAACCAAAGAAAAGACGGATATGTCGAGTTAAAACCACAACAGCCACATAAACAGAAGAGCCGAAGCTTAGCATTAAGACACAACAATGAAAATAAATGCTCCAATACATACACAGATGCAGCCAGATTAACTAACACGCACCAGCAGTCTTGCATCAGGACCAGCAATAACAAGGGTTAGGTAACATGTCAACAAACTCAGATACGAATAACACTTTACAGAAAATGTGTTTGAAGCACCAAAAGAAATTGTGTGATGAGTAAAAAAGTTGGAACCTGCTTCTTCTGGAGCTCTTTCCCTTTTACAGAGAAAGGTAAAAATAATTACAGTGCTTCTCTCTTCCATATTTTTGAGCAGGTGATGAATAACAATGCAGGAGGAGAGGAGAGAGAGGAGAGAGAGGAGAGAGAGGAGAGAGGGAGAGGAGAGGGAGAGAGGAGAGAGGAGAGAGGAGAGAGGAGAGAGGAGAGAGAGAGAGGAGAGGAGAGGAGAGAGGAGAGAGGAGAGAGGAGAGGAGAGGGAGAGGAGAGAGGGAGAGGGAGAGGGAGAGAGAAGAGAGGGAGAGAGGAGAGAGGGAGAGAGGAGAGAGGAGAGAGGAGAGGGAGAGGAAGAGGAGAGAGGAGAGGAGGAAGAAGAGGAAGAAGATGAGGAGCAAGAGAAGAGAAAGAAGAAGAAGGTAATAATAATTACAGTGCTTCTCTCTTCATTATTTTTGAGCAGGTGATGGACAAGGCAAAAGGGGAGGAAGAAGAAGAGGAGCAAGAGGAGGAGGAAAAGCACAAGGACAAAGAGGAAAAGGGGAAGGGGAAGGAAAGTTCATATGAGAATGAGGATTATAAAGATAACAACTATTATCATCACTATTCATATGCACGTGTATATGCATGTTGCTTTGATAACACCTACCAAGAATGCTGTCAGCATCGTTTCTAGGTTGCCTTCAAGGGGGTAAAAACTTTCTGAGGTATGCTATACTTTGTAAGTGCTATATGTACGTGTATTTATAATTCCTTTATCTTATTACATTATTTCACTATTGAAATATAACAATACAATTGCAATAGATAAAAAGAAAAGAAGGAAAATATAGAACCAGGATGTGTAATTTCTTCAATTATTTCTTTTCCATCATTGCTTTGAGGCAGAGCTTTTATACTCCCATAAAAAAAGGATTTATATTCTCCCTTGAGTTAAATATTGTATTCATAAAAATGATTCATCATAAAAATACATTTAATTAATAATTACATTTCTCACTGATTTTTTTTCTTCTTCTTTGTTATGATTGCTCTAACTTTCTCACATGCATTCCGTTGTAGTTGCTATAATACACTAACTCCTGAATTTCATTTTTACTGTATTTTAAATACATGTAGCCTACTTTATCTGTGTCAGCAAGTTACATGCTTTCATTTATTCATCTCTGTACTGAACTTGGAGGATACTTTTCCCTATGTAAAAAAGTAAAAAAATACAATCTGATGATCTGGAACTTCTAATTCTTACTGGGAAGCTCATATAGTATTCTATCATTTTCTTGGGTGGTAATTACAGAAAAAAGAAATATATATATATATATATTCATAGTGGCACCTGAGAGACACTTGAGTTATCAACAAGAGAAAAAGTGATTATTTCCTCCCATCTCATAATCAAACCATAATACAAATGACGCATTTCTTGACAGGAGAGTAAGAAACGAGAACCCTTTTGGCAATTGTTACACCAGTATATGGAAGCCTCTTTGAATTCTTGCAATTCTCCGATCTCCTAGTAATAAGCTGAGGGTGCATGGCTACCCTCCTGTTTGTGCTTCAAGTTAAAGGAGGAAAAAATATAATTATATGTACATACAGATACAACAGAAGCTTAAGGGAAATATATGAGAAAATTCATTTTTTTCAATTACACATTGATAAAAAAAGGGGAGAGAGAAAAAAAAAAAAAATCTAGTATACTAGTTAACTTAGGTAGTGACTAATCAATTGCATTGTTTGGGTGACTAACACATGGCATGGGGTATACAGTAACTTCATGCATGAGCTATGGTTGATCTCTGGGCGACTGGTAACTGGGAAGCATATAAATCTGCCAGTCTTGGTCGTATGAAGCTCACAATGACTGATGCAGTCAAAAGGATTTAGCTGCCTATAATCTGAACCATATTCATAGCTATGCTACAATGTGTGCATCATCTACACACATACTGTAGGTACCACGGTAATGCATCACAAAACACCAGGCTATAAAGTAAACCTGTCTTCCCATCACCACACAAGGTACACAATCAACACAGAACTTCCACACTATACGTATAACAAGTCTGATATAATGTGGTCCACAAGTATGGTCGCATTACAAAAGCCTTCACAGCAGAGCACATCAAATATGAGGATCACTAAATCTTTTTCCTTTTAATTCACAAGGTATCCTATATTTTCTGGCAGGAGTTCTTGTCCTCAGATCACCACTCTGTTCTGTTAAAATAAAGCTGAGTAAAATCAGCTTGTACAGGGTGTGGTTTTTCCTCACAATGATATAATAAAATAGACAACTTTCTTCACGGGCCTGTATCATACCTTCTTCCGTTCCACAGTTGTGAATTGAGTGATCTGCTCATCTCTTTCTCTTACTGCAAGTGGGATTTTGCAACTAAAACCATCCTTACTCTAAAAGTAAAGGTACCATGTGGGAATCATTCTTTGCCTAAGATTTTAAACACAACCTTATAATTACATTATTTGTCAATCCCATAAGTTTTTTTTTACAATATAGTATCTTTATTCTCTATGTACAAAATATGTTTTTATTAACAGGAGAAAAAAGAAAAGACAGAAAAAATAACATTTATACCAAAGGGCAGTTAACAAAAAGAAAAAACAAGATATATAATATCATAAAAAAGAAATTCCACTCCTAAGTTGCCCAGCTTCTTCTAAGTCTGAAGAGTGAAGTTTCCACGAAGGAAACGTATACCATTTTCTCATTTTTTTTGTCACCCATTATTGTCAGCACTTTCTGAAAAAGAGGAAGTAAAAATAAGAAAATAATATAGACAAATGTTTCAAACCTAACAATGTCAGGTTAGCAAAGATATATGCCATGTCCACAGTGATTTTAATTTACTGTGTTTATACATGGTCCCACAAGTGCTTAGTCACTAAGGAGTCGACTGCTAGTTTTATAAATCTGATTACTCTTTTCCTCTGTTTTCATTATTTTTAAAATTTTTATTCTCTATTGCTATCAGCACTGTTAATTAACGTTATAATGATCATAATGTCAATAATAATAATAATACCATTAATATCAATAGCACTTGGGAGGAGGAAGAAGAAGAAGAAGAAGAAAAAGAAAGAACTAAGGAAAGAAAGAGAGAAGAAAAGAAAGAAAGAAAAAAAAGATAAATCAGGTGATGTCACATAATGCCAGTTAAATGGCTTCTTGGCAGCTGAACAGTTGTAAAAAGATCTATGAGCAAACAATATTCACAAAACAAAACTACAGCAAAAAGTACATTCACCTGACTGCAACAAGTTAAACTGAGTAAAAATAATCTGAAAATCCCAATTTTCTTTGATTATCAGAGCTGTACATGTAATTGCAAATATCTGACTGATTGTTATCCAACATCTACAAATCTGCACCTCTTTTTTTATATCACCTAACATTTACTCTGCTAACACCAGATCCCAAAAGCTGCATGTCAACTGTGAGCAAAAAAGTTAATAAAAAGATTCACAATTGTAACATTTAAACATAATATGACTATTGTTCATTAAACTCAGGACTGTACAAGTCTCATTCTAAAACTCCACTGAGTTCCATTTAAAGGTTTAAATGTTGCCAATGAGCCAATACCATGCCACAGTTTACCACAAAGTGCCCCTCTTCACCCATGTGAGTCAGCTCTGGCTATGGCTGTGGTGAGCAATATGTGACTCTCACTCCCTCACCTACTTATCACACAGTCCACAGCATCTGACATCTATGTGAAATTTCTCTTGCCCTTAGCTAAAGTATAAAAACAGACCATCTGAGTGGGAGTTCTGCACATTTTTAATGAGCTAGCCAGGTGTTCAAACAATAAGAACTGATTTTATGTAGCTATTAAAAGAAAATGCTAAAGGGGACAGTTCCATGAATAGGGGACTCACCTGGTCAAAGTTAGGCAAAGAGTAGTTTCACATTCTATAAACCTTGTAAATTTCCCCTACAAATATTACACTCCATAAAATTGCTAAGTGATGATCAGTCAGTGGGACTGTTACCCTAATAATAGTATGGGTTCCTAGTGGTTAGGCGCATATTTATGATTGTGCATGTGTGTATGCATGTTTGGGCATATGTATAATAAACACACAAACACATGTATCTAAGAAGAAGAAAAAATTATATTTATATATGTACACATCTGTATCTATATCTATATATATTTATACATCTGGGTCCTCTTGTAAACATCAAAGGAGTAATTGAAAAATCTCAATTGGTTATATTTGAAACACCTTTCTCCAAAACTCTACACTCCAATTTTACCATTTCTCTGAACAATTCATCTCAGTAACCTAATAGATTTTAACACAATAATGAACTTCATGAAATGCAAATCATACCTTTCAGATGCAAAGTTGAGAGATATACAAAGAGTCAGTTGGCCTAGGAACAATATTAGCATGACATCTGCCCTATTTTATTTTTTCTCATCATAAAGTCAGGGAAAAAGTTAAATTAAAAGGTGAAAAGTTCTTTTTTCCTTTTAACTGATTCTTTCTATGTCAAAATGGTGCTCTGGAACCTAATCCCTGTTAACTTTAAACAATCTTATAAGAAATAAACTCATATAATATATCTTTACCCATCCCCTGTCTATGGAAAGCAATGCTGTGGATAATGTGTGTTACCTGTGCAGACACTATTGCATAAATTTGTAGGAGAAATTCCTAACTATTATAAAAAAAAACTAAAACAAAACCCTTTATATTAATGATCCTGTTTTGCTTTACACTGAAGTTACAGGTACGCCAGCCAACCCACCTCACCTAGAATGCTGATGTGCCGCAAGCATTTCGTATCTGTTCGTAGGTGATCCAGAAGGTGAGGGACCAAGGACCCATGCGCAGCCAGCAGGGGACAAAGCCCTTGTACAGTGCCCAGAATCCTTCATTACGGACTGTCTTCAAGAAGCAGTCCGCTGAATTTCGATATAAAAGACCCCTGAAAATGAGGATAGAATTAAATCAATACAAATAGCTCAATGAAACTTATTTCATATGTCATATTTATTTTTCCTATATGCAATCAAAGCTAAACTGCATTGTCATTAATCTATTTCAAAAGAAGCAATTATATAACTGGTGTGAATTGGGCAGAATTGCTACTTATATACCATAGAGTGCAAATACATAACAACAAGAAAAAAGACGCTGAAGTTCAAGGAGTAAGCATAATGCATACAGACTGCAAACAACAAGGGTGCAAACTCACATGGGTTACATACATCACAGTACTACAATCTATATACATTACTCACCTCTGTTATCTATAGTAAAAAAGAAGTACTTCTGAGGACTTTTTTACCATCTTATTCAATTTGTAGTTTTTGCTGTCCTAACATCAGTGTCAATTCTTACTTTTTGCTCTGCTTTCCAATAACAATCTTTCTAAGATTCCTACAAAGTAAAGTGTGCTTTCAATAAACTATAAAATGTATGAATTATAGAAAAGACTATAATTATCTAGATATTGTTAATTTCTCGGTGTAAACATATATGTCGGGAAAAAAATCTGCATAGTCTTTTGATATTAGACACTATTTCCACTTTTAATTAATCCTTTTCAAAACTTTCTGCCATACACTGGTGCATGCCTTCTCCAACAATATCTTCCAAAAAGAGATATTTTGAAAAGTAATATGATTCAACAAAATCTTTCACATCATAGAAAAGCAGTATCTTGACTGCTCAACTTTCCTTCTTTTTGGATTAACTTAACCTTTTCATCACAAGCTTGACTCAGAAGGAAGAATGTTATGATTTTGCTGTCTGCAGGCAACCTAGTAAATCTTCAGTAATATTTACCCTTTGAAATCCAAAGGAAATATTTACTTGTGAAAAGCTTAACTAAAATCCTAAAAAAAAAAATCTTTACTCACCCATTTGTCTATATCTAAGTCTTTGCCTTTGCAGTTTCCTCACTACACACACAATAAGCACTCATGTTTTACATACCTGGCGCAATCCCCATCCCATGGAAGTAACCGACACATACACCAAGATCTATTATTACTATACATATTTCCAGAATGGTAATTTCTGGAGCATCTTTGAATCTTGTGAACAATATAACTAACCTGATAATTCTATAATATAAACCTGCTTAAATGTGCATCCTGTTCTATATTTAAAGTGTTCCTTATTCAAGTTAAGTTTTGTAATATACTATTAAATTTCTGTAAAATGAAAAAGAAAAAGAAAAAGAAAACGAAACCTCAGATGCCAAATGAAAAACTGCATACATCAGAAGCATAAAATTGTAGGTACATCTTCCAGATTATACATCCTATATCTGATAGGCAATATTACCATTATATACTATGATTTATGTATGATTAAAATACCTGTACTCTCAAACTTGTGCCAGCCTGTCATAACCACACGATGCTTATCTTGTAGAGGTTCAGTGCACCATTATTTATTAATGGCTATGGAATTCCTTTGATACTACAGGATACAATTCATGATGCAATGGCAATTATTTCAACTCAAAGCTCACAATATCAGTAGGAAGCTACGTGGTGTGAGACACAACTGAATACTGACTAAGACTGTTAACCAACAAAAGGTATGAATTAAAAGCATACACGATGAATAAAAACACTTATGCTTGTATATATGCGCTTTTGTGTGTGTGTGTGTGTGTGTGTGTGTGTGTGTGTGTGTGTGTGTGTGTGTGTGTGTGTGTGTGTGTGTGTGTGTGTGTGTGTGTGTGTGTGTGTGTGTGTGTGTGTGTGTGTGTGTGTGTGTGTGCGCGAGCGCGCATGTGCATGTGTGCCTGTGTGTGCGTGCACATGTGCGCCTGTACACTCATAAAAAAAAAATATATATATATATAAATATATATAGGAAACAAAACTGACAGAGTTCCATTCAACATTTGCAAGGTATTCCTTCCCAAATATCATATGCTAGAGGAAGGAGTAGCAACACTCCACTTAAAGCACTTTCTGGCTGGCCCCTAACACTTCCATTCGAGGGGTTCTCTAATGGCTTTACATGAGAGCTCAATTCATGGCAAATAAATAAAGAAAAAAAAAGGGTATATATGAAAAAATAAACAAATAAATAAAGATAAATAAAGAACAAATCAAGACCCTTCCTGCATCCTCACTTACCTGGACTTACTGTCAGTTGGCTGGTTCATTATCCTGGCCTTAACTACGTCGGCAGGGCAGCCCAAGACGGCCGACACCAGGCCAGATAAGGTACTGCAAGATGTATAATGGAGGTTCTTCCTAATTTTTCCTGCTCATGCTCTGCTTACTTCTACAAATGAGCTCGTCGGGTTCAGCTGGGTTTCCAATAATATATCACACCATCGGGAGACTGAGAACCCGATTACTCGTAATATTGTTGGAAACCCAAAAGAGTGACAAGGAGAGGACAAATAGAGAGAGAAAAGATAAAAGAAAAAGATAAGCTAGTTGGCATGTGAGGAGACTTGAGCTGTTATAAATAATAAAAATGAAGAGAATGAATATGACAATAATAATAAAATCTCTCAAAGATCTCCCCCTTCATCCAGCTTGCTTACTGACATCTATATGTAACCCTGGTCTGGCCGATGCTAGAGGCGGGCACTTGTCTCAGGCCCGGGTGGCGGAACAGCACCCACCTGGCCCTGTGGTCCGTGGGCTGGTTCATTAGCCTTGTCTTCACTACGTCAGCTGGTGTACCCAACGATGCTCCTATCAGTCCTGAGCACGCACTGCAATAACAACACTGGTCCACATAGTTCGCACTCACACCCACAGCTTCCTCTGTATGCATATCTTACAAACACTCAGCTTGGAAACAAATGTTAGTAATTCAGATTTATACAATTTCTACTAATTACTGAAACTTATAACTGTATCAAAAATTAATAATCTTTCATTCAAACTCTATTACTGTCATTAGCCTTAAAAACTAAAGAAAAAATAAATCTAACATTGTCTACATCTACAACCACTGTCTACACCCAAACCAAGTTACAAATATGGATCTTAATCCACCCTTTAACCCATTAGCAAGAAGTACATGTACTGTCCATTGTAGTTTTTTGTTAATCTTGTACAGATGGCTTCATAAGAGGTCACAACACTATAACTTAATCTTTGCAATATCTAATTCACTCTATCCTCAATCTCTTTTTCACTCTCTGCATTCCATACCAACGCACACAAGCAAAAGCAAACATTAACAAAAAAATGTAATTCATATTTTTGTGTATATTCACGTCAGTCTCAAGTTTGTCATTTCTTTCCGATCTGAGAACGGATCTGGATAAAACTGCAAACAAGTTATTTGATAAGAAAATAAAATAAAGAGAAAAAAGATAAAAAACATACATATATCAAACACTTTTGAAAAAAGAGAAAGGAAATAATAAAATGAATAACCATCATATTATACAACTGATGCAAAAGTCTATTTCAACCCTACAGTAAAAAAAAAATAATAATAATAATATAAAGCAATGGTTAGCATTAAAATATCAAAAATAAAAACATATCATGAACATATTATATTTTCAAACAAATAATAATAGACATTTTGAAATAAATATTTACCCAATTTTGAGTTAACTGAAAAGTGGAGAAAAAATAGGCTTTATGTAAATAAATTAATAAACAAAATCAGCTCTGTTAGTAATTCCAACATGTGAACTAAACTATGTCAGTTCTGAAACTAATAATAATTACTGTTTGCTGAAAAATGAATAATAATAATAATAATAATAAAAAATCTCCTTAAAAGTTCTAAAACTGTGTTAAAGAGAGGCAGAATAAATGAATAAAAATAAGCAAAAAAACAAACAAACACCAAGTACACTTTTTGGGTTTGTGTACCAATGTAGTAGACATGAATATTCAAACTCAGACACTTCATTCTTTTAACACAGCATGTATGAATGCACACACATTCTCTTTCTCTCTTTTATGCAAACACATTCATGGTTATTTGACAGCCATTGTAGAACACTATACTATACTTAACAAAAAGCGAGTAATCAATTGTGATTCCCATTTTGCCAAAATTTCTATTGACAAATAATAATGCTATTCTTAACACAGTGCAGGTGAAAACTTTTATCTTTACTTAATACTAGCTAAGGAAATTTATCAAAGTAGATGTACAGTTCACATTTAAGACCCTTCAGCATAGGGAAATAAAGATCTCCACTTTAGAACTTTACATTAAAATAGGAGTATAGTTACACCATTTCAATTTTCTATCTAAAAACTTGCTTTGGACTGTGTTAAGAGTTTGGATAACGTGAGATAAGATATATCAGTAACCTACCCCCATAATGGTTACCTCATTTCTACAGGAAGCCATCAAAATTATTCCAGAATGTAAAAATATAACATTAAGAACATACAACTACTGGGCAAGCAATGTATTTGATATATCTTGATTAAATCTTCACAAAAATCACATGATCATAAAATTACATGTAATTCTAACAAAGATTTCATTCAAATACATACATTGCATCTATTGAATTGCAAAGTTACTCATTCTCATTTCCATTTTTCTCCATTTGTCACAGATTTATTTAAACCCTATAGTATCAAAGAGACAAGTTCTTTCCCACAAAATAGTAGCTATATTAGAATTATTTTTCAACTAATTTTGAAGCATCTGAATAAAGGCACAAGCAACATTTCATTGGCGTAACTTGCATATCACTTGAATGGAATGGCAGCATGACATATACTATCTTTCAGTTGCGATGTCAGAAAAATAAATTGTACCAAAATCTGAGGAAACTTTGTTCATGTTGCTAGGCATCTCGCAGTACCCCTGAATGAGAGCCATAATAAATTCTTTTGGATAGCTGATGTGATACCAGTTAGTATTTACTAAGCATTTCATACTTTTGACTAAAACTTCTTTTGTTTTCCATTGTAACAAGACTTTTAATAATTTAGCAACTCATTCCCCCCTTAACTTACTTGTTCATTCTTTCATTCATTCACTCCCTCACTCATTCTCTCTCTAAATAAAAACAAAACCCCATACCTTGACAAAGCATGGGTCCAATATGTATCGGGCAACCCCCAACTGTTCACAAAGTATCTCTTGACTGAGTCGTAGGTGGTCAGATCACCGAGGTTGACTAGTGCTGACCGATAGACATTTGGCATACAACCTTTCCACAGCCCACGCATTCCACCTGCTTGATAGATCTTGATGAAGGCTTCCCCAGCTGAGTGAACTCTGTAAAAAGGTTTGGATGCATCTTTTTACAATGGAAAAGAATTTTTTTTTTTTATCACTTGGAGGATATCATCAAAATCATTTTTTGGAGGAAGAAAAAAAATAATGTAGAAAAAAGGAAGGACAGAAAGAAAGAAGGAAGGAAGGAAGGAAGGAAGGAAAGAAGGAAAGAAGATAGGAAGGAAGGAAGGAAGGAAGGAAGGAAGGAGAGAAGGAAGGCAGGAGGGACTAAAAATTGCTCAAGAAGAAGCAGGAAGATAAAGTAATAGAGAATGATGGAGATATGGAAGAGGAAGAGGATATGGAGTATGAGGAGCAAGAGGAAAAACAGGAAAAAAATAAGAGAGAGCAAAGGCAAAATACAGCTACATTACTAAAGAGAATATAGTAAAAAATAAGAGAAAGGGTGAACAACAAAATGAGGAATAAAAAAGATGAAGATGAAGAAAGAAAAAATATGTCAAAAAGTGAAAACTACATAGAAATTTTTACTATGACAACAACACAAGCAGACCAAATAGCCAGCGTACCGTGGGGGTTTGCCTTCCAGCCTTCTTCGTCCCTCCATCTGCATCTGCACTTTGACCAGGTCAGCAGGGGAGGCCAGGAACTGTGCAATTCCTCCCACTAAAATACCTCCCACAATGGCCTGCCTTTAGAAGGAAATTACAAGAGCAATAATGGCTATCAATATTGATACTGTTTTTATTATTATTGACATTATGATTA